AATTTGTGTATATTTGGGCTGCATTTTGCATAAATGAAATTTCCATGATTAAGTCTGCTCAAAAGTTGATTCGCAGAATTCTCTTTTGCAGTCATGTTTAATCATATGACTCGACTCTTCCTCTTGACTGAAATTCCATTCTTTGTGAGGGAGCAACTAACTGATACTTGACTCCTTTTTGTGATTATTAAATTCCGCTTTTTTCCTAACAGGGAGAGAGGGCCAAGGGGTCGATAGCCTGCGAAAGAAAAAAACTCCCCCGATCCGACTTGGTAATTTTCGCCCCTGTCGGAGAATTAGTATCTCTCGCAAAAAGTGAATTCAGAAAACCCCTATACTTAGATGATTGTAATAGCATCGCACTAGGGAATTTCCATCGACACGTACATTTTTCACAAAATTATTGATACCCGAAACTGAAAAAAAGACGCTTGGTTCTAGAGTCCAGACTCTTAAAAACATCGACAAGAAAAAATACTCTTGATTCAATCCGACTTCTTCTTGAATAGAAGAGCCAAGCATCTTGATTTAGGCGGATTTCCTTTTGATTCAAGCAAAAAGTCTGATTGAATCGAGAGTATTTTTTCTTGTCAATGTTTTCAAGAGTCTGGACTCTATATCCAAGCGACTTTTTTTCCAGTGAAAAGTTTCCGAGGTAATAATGTGAGCTCTCGACGGAAAAAGAACCAAAAGCCCAAACTTCCGTTATTAGCGTGATTGTATTCATAGCAGTGTCGTTCGGGCATGTTCCAAACGACCAATAATGTTTGACAAAATCAAAGTTTCCGTGCAAAAATGTGCAGTTTTCCCCCTCATTTTACCGATGGCTTATAAAAATACTTAATAAGAAGTAATCGTAAGAAGAAAGCATCAGTCCATCATAGGGAATTTTTTGACTTGCACAGAAACGTCAAAAACTACGAAAAACTGAATAAAAATTTTGAGCAAATGTATGTTGACAAACTCTCTGCACACGTGAGGGATCCTGTGTTCAATTCGTATAAAGCTCAAAATGTTGAGAATGCCTTCCAGCAATTTTCTCACCTAAGATGCCGTGCATCTGTAAGTACAAAGATAAAGTTTATATTGCCCTTCTTGATGGCTACAAAAGCGCTTTTCAACACTTCTGGCAATGGAATGCCGTGTTTATATCACGAAGAATTTCAGGCAAATCCAACGAAATTCAAGTTTATGGTGCATTTGCATCACTGTCACCCCCCCCCCCCCCCCCATCCCCCCGCCGAGGGTGCGAGAACAGTGCTGTAGACGGGGCATCTATGGCGTTTTTTGTTACAAGGCTTACAAAAATCGTCCTCATATTGGACCCATCCTTGCCACATCACTGATAAGAGAGGTTAGTGGCGTTTAATTTTGGCAAGATGAATAGTCACTTTGGCAACATATGGCCGACCCGAATAACATTGGTTTTAAACGTTTTGCATTCCAGCGATAAAACACTGGTGCAATGAAATCAACATATGAAGCATGTGCAACTTGGAGAATTGCATGGAAGTTTCTCTGGTTGCGACTCGTTTCTTCCTCGCTGAAACTCAGAGGCTGAAGAGACTCGGCAACATGGTTGCCGGATTTTGCTGAAACAGCGTAGTTTTCACATAAGATAGGCCGATTTTCAGCAAAAATTGGCAACCGTGCTCAGCAAAACCAATTTTTCCGATTTGCAAAGTTAAAAATTTCGGTTCGCGTTCTAAATGCATGAGAGAAACATAAATAATAGATAGAATGGCATCACCAACTCACCAATCAAGCATGGTGGATTCGAAAATAAATAAAAATATTAGTTAAAGTCGCCATACGTTATTAAAGAGGATTGTATTGAACATGATTTGCGGAAATTAGTTCAAGACGGATAAATCGCAAATTGGAGAAAAACGCACATGATGGAAAGGTTGATTTGGGTATCCCTAAGTCTTAACTGTGGACATACACACAGAATTTTTCAACTTTGTAAGGTGGAAAAAATGCTTAGTTTCTCACCATTATTTGTTGAGAGGCTCCAGAGAACTTTCCTTTGATATCTTGGATAGAAACCCAAAATTTTAAAGATGTGGATATCAACACGGAATTTTTCAACTTTTTAGGCTGGGAAAAAATGTTGAATTTTTTACCCTTACTTACTGACTTTACTTTTTGAGGGGCTATAGAGAGTACTTTCCTTCAATACCTCGGCCTTATTGACTGAAGTAACTATCCTTAGAAATTGCCCCGTGTCTACTAAGATACCTAATCCTTATGAACGGTCGCAGTATTTTCCGCAGGGACAGTCAGCACAGGGCCATACTTTCTGTTGTGTTCCATTTCGGTGGAAAGACAAAGAAGGTTTTTTTCTCTTTTTTTTCATTATACGAAATGCACAAATTTATCGTTACAGTTATAGGAACAACACTTTGTCACAGGGAGGATCCCCTGGTAGCGCGGGTTGGTCGAGGGTTGTGGGAGGGGGTGTCGGACGGGTAAGATAGATCAGAGCTGGATCGCAGGAGCAGGGACCCATCAATTTTTGCAAGCTCAGGCAAGCGGAGAGAAAGAAGCCACCGAGAGGAAAATATTGGCGGGCAGCTGTCAGATGGAAACAGGAGCGACCTGCACAGTAAGACGCACGCGAAAAAGCTTGGATGACGCTTGCAGAACCCTCAAATATTACGTGACGCAGTTAGAGGGAACAGGACTGAAGCTTACGAGATGCTAGAGTCCAGCGGAACAATCATTTAACAACCTGCGCAATTATTTTGGAATACCTGCAACTTGACAAAGGGGAGAAAGTGGGTAAGGAGAAACGAAATTTTGAGATTTTGAAGTTTACATGGCATAATCAGTGTTTTACAATCATTTTTGCACAAGAAATGCCCAAAAATGTTGAACCGCATCGTAAGTTCCGATGTTCAGAATGTATAGTTAAACAAAAGTAGCCTTAAGAAAAGAGATTTTTAAAAATTGTTCTCATCCACCTCGTTGGAAGCTAACTGTTTCGAATGATGCAATAGTAGCAGATCTATTAATGCAAAAATGAACGAAACTGCTTTAAATTAATTCTTTGGAAAATCTCTATGTTTCATAGTCCTTAGACATTATTTATTCTATGGCGATGTAATGCGCAGGAAATGTGCACCCCTTTCAAGAAAGACCACTGACTCCAAGAAAACCAAGAAGGAAAAATTATCCCTAATTATTAAGATTTTGTTACGAAAAAAATGAAACAAATTACAGAAATATCAGAGGTAGAACAGAAGAGATATTAAATTTTCAGTGAGTGCAGCTGGAAGAAATTCGGTGTGATACTCTGCTGAGACGAAGTTATAAACATTTTTTCATCAATATTTTACACGAGAGGTAAATCTTAAAAAAATATGAGGAAAAATTTAGTGACTATAAAGGTTTTACTGGACTGCAACACGGTAAATGTTTCCTATTCATTTCGTTGGGACTTTGTCACGGACAAAAAAAAAATTAAAACCCTATCGAGGTATGATCGCGCCATTGTGCGGCAGATTCTGAGTGGTGACTACAAAACAAATCGGGACTTTTCCTCGCCTCTCGAAAAATCGGCAATTTCATGTGTGACTGCGCGAATCTACCCGGGAAATTCGCGTCTTTCTGTCACCCCGGAACTTTTTCGGACCCCACCTCCTTCCGCAATCTTTTCGTACAATGTCGCCTTTCGAACCACTGCTTTACAACAGAGCGAACATCGTTCTTGGGCTCAATGCATATTTGATGCAATCTCCATCCACCAAAGGCGGCAACGCGTTCGGCTTCACAGGGATCTGTCAGACAACGGAAGTTATTCCGGGAGGATTTCCTACGTATTGCTTTCGGCCTCATGACTTTTAATATTCCGGGAATATCTTAGCGTAGAAATCCTTGATAAGCAAGTAGATTATTTACTTGCGTTGAATGCACATGTTTCGGCTGGCGGTGCCGAAAATAAGCGCGACGCGACGACGATTCTTTCACTACACAACCTTAGTTGGTTGTTAGGTGGTTCATCCCCAGAGAAGTCTCCGATAGGGCATTCCTAGGGACAAGTCCACTAGAAGAATTGTCAAGCAGAAGCAAGAGAAAGAGTGATAGAGAAAATGCATATAAATCGGAGGATAGGAAGAAACTGGAAATGATAGGTTGCCAGAGAATGTAGAAGGAGTAGGATGGCGGGAGAGACGAGGTAGAGAGGTGAAAGAGAGAGACGATGCTGAGCGATGGTAGAAGACTGAGAAAAGGTAAAAGAGAGAGAGAGAGAGAGAGAGAGAGAGCACGAATGAACACTTCACTTTAATGATCTCCTGAGCGAATTCGCCCTAGAGTAAAAGTCCTACGGAAATCCGCTGGACGAAGAGAGAAACACTATACTTCCTGTTATTTACCTTTTGCGAATGAGTAATTCCTTGGTTGAATACCGTAGCAAGCTGTGAGGCTGGATGCGAGAATCCTTGACTAGAGGTGATGAATCCTTTGCATGAGGCGATAAGTCCTGGTGAGATAGCGGAACCACCCGAGCCCAGGGGCGCGCAACCTTAGCACTATCCCCGGGGGAACGGGACTGAACCTTAGAAAAGGATAGAAAAAACCACGTAATGCGTATGGGTTTTTTGGGTTGCACTTAGCATTTGAGATGACCTACCGATTTAAGTCATGTAACCGCAAGATTCTTAATTAAATAATTTAAAATAAATTATTTAATTGATGCAATCGGTGAAGATGCGCGAAGCGCGATCTCGCGGTGGCGCTCTGAACTGAGCACCGTCCCGTGCCGCGGCAGACTCGGTGCCGGCGGAGGCGGCGGCGGGCGGTGGCCGCGACATCCCCCCCCACGTTGAAGCTTTGGGGTTCAAAGGATGAAACACTGAAACAGGTATGCAAGATGTACGTATTTTTTTTTTTTTTTTTTTTTTTTTAAGAACAGAGAGGGAAAGAAACGATGTTTAGAAGTAAGAGTAAAGAGAGAGAGAGAAAGTATAAAATTTTGTTCGAGCGAGAGGGTTGTTCTAGAACTGACGCCTGAACACACATGCAACACTGCAGAGCACTAGTAGATGAGATTTTGAGTGCGACAGCAGGACTGCGAGTCTGATGTGCCATTGAGTGCAAACTGGTGACAAGGACGACGGCTGCGATTTTTGTCGGAGTGTCTCATTAAGTGGCTTTGAGTACATGAGGTCACTTATGATGTTCGTTACGGCGTAAGTTTGCGAAGACCATAGAGGATCCTTATACCTATTTAGGTAGGTTATGCAATTTGACGTTGGTAGACAGTAGGACACCGCATAACTGGAGTTGTAAATTCCTGCTGTGTGTTGTCCAAGATGCGGTAAGGCATTTTTCCAAATGAGAGCTTTCCAGATGGTGATGAAAAGAATCCACTGTTTTGAATTGAATTTTATAAAATGTAAGCAAGAATCTGAATTATTAAGAGAAATTGCCCTTTTCAATGTATGGCAGTCGTTGAAGATGTGCGAAACACGTAATCTGAATAGGCACAGCAAAGGTGCTGCATGAAATTCTAACTGAGGAAGAGAATTAGTCAGAGGTATGCGTGATTGTGTGCTGAGTAGAGCTTTCTGAGGCGACTTAGTTGGGTTTTGTGCGAAAGTGTAGGCGGAGTAAATATGCGCTTTGCCAGTGGCGTGCGCGAGCATCGCTTCATTTGTAGAAGTGATGTTTAAGAGGCGACAAACTGAGCAGTTTGAGACTTGCGATAGTTTGTCTTGAAATTGTCTCCTTTGTGGAGAAGTGCATTGCGGTGCATCCATTGTCCAGTCATGACTAGGACATGAGGTTGCAACCTCTGAGTATCGAGGCGCTTTTTGGAGTAGGTTTACGGTAGACAGAATTACTGATAAGAGAACAAATAGAATACAGAGTTGAACAAGAGTTGAACGGATGTAGCCTTTGATGACTTTAAACTCGAAATTACTTTGATGTGAGGACATCACATCCGTGGCGGTGGTCCGGCAGGTACCCAAAACTTTGAAGGAACCATTATTAGGTAAGATCATGTTCGCACTAAGTTCAGCAGTTGTTAGTACTTCCGATCTTACGCTGGTCTCCGTAGTTTGTAACAGCGAAGGTACTCTGGTTTCCGCATTAGGTAGCAATTCCGAGGCTCCACAGGTTTCCGGGTTTGAGAGCATTTCCGGTCTTTGTGTGGTTTCCGTGTTCAACAGTATTTTTGAAAAATTTGAGTTTTCTTTTGATAGATCAAAACTGTTAGATGTAGAAACTATGGTGGATCCATTGTTTTCATGGCTAGTTAGTAAATTTGTTGGCTGTGAGGTTGCTTGATTTTTGTTCCAAAAGTTTTGAACTTTGACTTCCGCTATTTCCGGTTCCGTGCCATAAACATCGGCAGCCCTTGGGGTCACCTGGAAAGCAGGCTTGTCATGCATGATGGGACTTGAGAATGTTGCGCTAAAGTCAGGAACAACAGATACAAGATGCAATTCTGAGTTTTTGAGTAACTCTGTTTTTAGAGAGATGAAACTTGAAGCAGCGGTTGCTCTAGAGGAGCTGACGTGTTGAATTTGACTTTGAAACGGCAGTGCAACTGAAAATTGCCCGTTTTCTAGGTAGTGCGGTTTGAGAAAACGTTCTTCACAGTATTTATTCGCTGCGCTAAGAAATGTAGGCTTAGGTACGTCTTCAACGTTGAGCCATTTCTGCATTATTTGCTCCATCGGCTCTAAGATGGTAAGACAGCTGGTTACCACGGGTGGTTGTTCGATTTCTGTGGGCACGCTTCCCATGATGATGTATCCCAACGTGGATTTGATGGCTGGCGGTAAATTTTGGTAGCGAATGGTGTGTGAGTCTTCGAAAAGATGCGACCAAACCGAAGCACCGAGGAGTAAGTCTACCTTTCCAGGCTTATGGAAAGTAGGATCAGCCAGCTGTAATTGCATTAGTTTTTCCATGCGCGGCGTGCGAGAAATTTCCGTACACGGAAGATTTGAGGATAATATGTTGGTAACAAGCGCTTTGATGGCATACCGCTTTGCTGGATTCAGCGCGGAGAAAAAACATAACTCTGTCTGAAATTTTGGGCGGACAGCTCCGGGCCCTATCCCTTGTAGAGTCTGAGTACTTTGTTCCCGAGGAAGGTTTAATTTTTGGGCGCAGTTTGGTGTCACCATATTGGTCATACTTCCATTGTCCAAAAGTGCTCTTAAAGTGTGGACTTTACCATATTTGTCCTTGACTTTAACTAGCGCCGTGGCGAGTAAGACAGCTTGCGGCGCACTGGTTGTCAGGGCGGAGGAACATATTACAGTTTCAACTGTATTCTCGTTCTGTTGGTTAGGATTTGACTCCGTTTTTGAATTTTGATCTTGATGCAGTAATGTGTGATGCTTTTGGCCACAATTGTTCTCGCGGCATCTGTTTTCTGAGCCACAATCTTGGTGTGAGTGATGATTTACCGTCAAACAATTTGAACAAACTTTATTTGGTCGGATGTACTTCCAGCGTTCGCAAACTGGCATGTCCCTAAACTCAGGGCATCTGTACAAAGGATTATGTGGTTCCTGGTCACATACGACACATTTAGAATTTGATTGAGATGAAGTATTGTCTCTACTTTGACGTTGCGCTGCGAGCATGTTTTTAGACTGGTTATTGTAGTAATTAGACCTTTTGGCAGAATTGCCAGAGTTATTGTAATTTGTCGACTTTTCTTGAGGCGTCCTTTCAAGAATCCGTGCTTGTTCTTGGACAAAGCTGACTAAAGCTTTAAAAGATGGAAAGCTTTCACCTCGCACTGTATCCTCGAATTGCAGTCGAGTTTTCGAATCAAGCTTCGTAAGTGCGATATGAAAAAATAAGAAATCTTCTAAATCTGGAATTTTCATTTGTTTCAATGCGTTAACCGCTTCAATGAAGGATTCCAAAAAGAGAGACAAATTCTTTTCGGTATCTTGCGTAATTGTCTTGAAGTTCAAGATTTTCTCGAAGAGAGTCGATCCGAGAGCTCTCTTGTCCTCGAATTTGGTTTCGAGAGCCTCATACAACGCCTCGTAATTTTCCTCAATGGGCAGAATCCCGGAACAAAGGGTTTTAGCAGAACCTTCTAAGTGCGTGACTAGATAGTTGATTTTTTCTAATTTCGAAAGAGAATCGTTCGTGTGAACCAATTGATTGAATAATTGATAGAACACAGGCCAATTTTCTCTTTTTCCATCGAATTTTGGAATCTCCAATCTTTTAAGTTTGATTCGAGACTCTGATGAATTTTGTTTTTCGCTGTTTGCAGTTGACGCGGGCGATTTTTCTTTCAGACTAGCCAGCGCGCTAGATATGAGGTTGACCTTATCGTAAAATTCTTGAAGAAGCTCAAAGTTTGGTTCGTAGTCCTCATCGATTTCAAACGAAAGTTCCTGTACCTTTTCAAAGGTTGTCAGAAACTCCTGCTTTATCGTTTCAACTGAACAGACTTTCAGCAGGAAAGTCTTTTTTGGTTCTTGCTCCTCGATTTTAGTGGCCAGTTCAGCGATGTTGTTAATTTCAGAAAAATGAAATTCAACTTTTGCTGTGGAGTATCGTAGCACCCTAGCCTGAGCCTGATTTTGCATCCTTTTCTTTGGCATTTTG